TTTGCCAACGTTTTAGGGTTTCTGAGTAGGATCCAAAATAATATTTGTATATTTATTTTGTTTGTATTATTAATATACTCGTTTGTATGTATTATTTGCCAATTTTCAAAAGCATATACGTTTCTTCAGCGTACAGAGGGGTAACAAAATGGTGTCCATCTTTTATGCAATCGACTTGAAGTTGACTGTTTTTGATGTCATTTTGGAATTCCTCACTATAAATCGGCGAATGTAATAATCAACAAGCTAATGTGAGGGTATTTGTTGTTACACAACGACGCCGAAAACCGACGAAGGCGGGTACTATAAATGGTTTTCACCCATCTACGTCAAATAATTGCTTCATTACTATGGAGTGTGACTTACAGACTACTTTCCCGGAAATTGAAGATGGGGTGTTACGTAAATTTGCACGCGTGATATTGTGCTTCTGTGTGTACCAATCGACGTCACAAAAATAAAATTCCCTTATCGAATATCCACAAACTGGCATGTTTATATTTTCCGTCGTGACAAAGCAGACGTATTTCTGTACCCCAGTCTCGCCACTTCCGCGAAAGTGGTCTATTGGATGATTTAATACTCTCTGTACTTACGGCAGTTTTTCTCGTCCGAACCGCTGGCACAATCGAGGACACCATCACACGTCCATCTCCTTTCATAACACTGTACATTACCGTCACATTTAATGAGACCTGGAGCACATTCCTGTTCTTCTGAAACAAACCATAACAAATATACAATAGACCCTTTGCACGTCCCTTGACATCGTTGTTTTCAGAACATCTTGTCATTTTATTTCAACCATTTTTCGACATAGTAGGGACATTTTCGCATCAACTCTAAATTTCGATTCAGATCACCGAAAACGAGAAGATTCCAGACTAGTGATACGTTCTCTAGTGTTAACATGTAAAAACATGAAACATAGCTTATTATGTGCAGATACCGTTCCACGACCATTCGAATGTGAGCATAAAAATAATATTTGTATTTGCTCCGAGGACGGTAATTTTAACACAGACAACCTTCGTTTTAAAATATAAAGTATAAATAAATATCGTTATCTATCTGAAATTTTAAACGAGAATTAAATTGCAGCATGTTGCTATCATCGTGGAAGGGTAGCTCACCACAAGTTTTATGCACTTCGTCGGAGCCATCTCTACAGTCAACGTACAAGTCACACATCCACTCTTCTGCAATGCATTGTCGCTGGTTGGCGCATTTCAATAATCCTTTGTGACAAGTGTAATTTCCTGAAATGTTAAAATTACAAGAATTATTATCGGATAATTTAGTATTTTAATTGAAAATACAACATCCACTAATCTTCAACGAGAAAACAAGAATGGAAGTACAGCCGTGCGTCAAGAAATTAATGATACTGTCATTGGTTAACACAACATTCATATAATTTTTTAGTGACGATTCGCTCGTGGGACGTCAAACTGACGTAGTTAAAATATACAGCTATATGTGTTTCTATATGTGTCTTTGGTTATTTAGTATCAAATTATTAACTCAGAAATATATTATTGGCTGACGACCACAGATAAGAAATACAACATGGATGCCTGGACCTGCTTACGTCATATAATCGCGTCGTCGCTAGGGGACGTTACTTATAACACTCTATGTCATCTATCTTCCTGTTTTCGCGGGGCATTCTTTGAACGGTTGCAACCATGTAATTCAGTTAATCTCCGGATGCGAGGCATCTAGACACAAAGCTCTGACTTTCGTCAAGATTATAAAAACTGTAAAGTCGTTGTGCATATGCACTATAATATATATATCAGAATATCAGTTTCAATTATTTGAATAATGGTGAATGTTTGGCTATAGCCCCCCCTAGCATTTATGGGGAACCATCTTTATTTGGAATCCTCTGATTGGATGAAAGTTTGAGTCTTACAAGGCGTGTAGAATTAGTCGGATTCATACCACTGAACCACTAATTTATAACGCAAGCTGTTTTAATTACCCTGTTAAATGCATTTATTGATCCACTGAAAAATCAAAATAAACTTTTATTGATCAAGGCATTTTAAAAATCATGGGTGTTAACCCCCTCAAGTTATGACCTGTGGTCTCCTATAAAATAATGGTTGCATCCAATATTAAAATAAAGATGGCGGACTATAGCGTTGATTCATCTCTTTCTATTTAGAGCAAATAAAGATCTTAGAAATGTTGTACTTATATACGTAAATGTAGTTTCGTTTGCTTGAATCAAATTCACATACAGGTATACAAGGTTACCTGTCTCTTGTGGAAATTTATTATTACCCAAAACAGGACATTTACCCTACCTTTACCTAGAACAGATAGACAAATCTGACATTGGCTAGAGCTTTTGTTTATATATGGAAATGGTCATGGTGAAGGGCAAACTTTGTTGTCAAACTTGTCAACACTTTTGATGATTTTGTGGTTCTTATAGATAACAATTTTAAACTTCTATGTTCTTGTACCCACACGTGGGAAGCCCATCATACCCAATAACAGTGTCAAATTTACGAAGAAAATTGTACTAGTACTTCATTTAAATTTAAATTAAGTTTATCATAATGCAAGGTATTTGACCAACAGAAACAAAGCCTGAAACATGGTACACATTTTTACCAATGTCATTATTTGCACGTGAATGAGTTTCAACTTTAGGGGCATCGATTGTGTTGTTGAAATGACACAATCGATTTAATAGTGAACTACCATCGAGATTGCGCCCTCGTATTATTCAATATGAAAATAAATGCTCTTTACTTCTACACATACAGTACAAAATGTTGTTAGATCGGTTGTTTTCAGACTCTTCGTTTGTGTTTTTGTCTCAACTGAACAGATTAAGAATAGAGTTGATTTCCTAGTCACGCGCACGTACTTTCAAGGAATGATTCCAATTGGTTCCGTACATAAACATGAGTCACGTGACGAACACAAACGACATGTTGTCTTTTGACTAAATAAAGTACGTGGTAGCATGGTAAGCCATTTTTTCTTTCAAATCAAACATTATGACTGGGAATCGGTTATGATACGATATTTGTGTTGTTGGCATGTCTGTTTATGATTTGGTAAAACACACAGAATCCGCCTTACATTTTATAAGATGTGGTTCGGTATTGATCGCAATTCAATCCATGTTCAGAACAATATTCGCCTCAAACCATGACATTTCGCATAAGCTGATCAATGATTTGCGTTCATGTGGCAGACTGGCTCGTTCAAGAATATCTGTTACACACAAGTACAGACTCAGTGATACTGTAACAGCGTACCAATTACCTTGGTAATTAGGGTCAATGGCACACAATGACGTCATATTGAGCTATTGAAAACACCGGCGAATTATCAAAAGTATGGTGTAATTGGATTTCAAATTGACGAGAATGAAATAAATACCCCGATGATTGAGATGTATTGATTAATCAATTGAATGACGTTTGAACTGACACATCGCATTGTGTCAGTTGTTAAAGGACAAATGATCAAATGATGGCGGTTCACCGACAAAAATAATATTTTTCGGTAAATTGACTCTAATGAGCTGATTTTTACCCCCTACATAATACAGAGCAAAAAATAAAATGAGTGTACAAAAACATGGTAGGTCATATGGTCTATAATAATAATATCATGAATTGTCGTTCGAACAAAATTACACTCTAAATGTATTGGCGTTGTTTACCCAATTATATTTATTTAGTGAGAGTCATGTCTACATCATTATATGGATGAATAAATCTATGCGAATCGACAAATACGAAGCATATTATGAGGTTCCCTTAATTCACGACGTATCGTACATATCATCCACACTTGATGCGATTCGATGAATTAACTACTGTATCTTATGTAGCTACGTACGACAGTAGGCTTGTTAGCAGGCATGTCAATAGATCATTCTCCGTTCACTGTCAGATCCCTCGTTATGCGTGAAATCGAAAGTGCAATCGGGACAAAAAAAAGTCATAGCGTTTTAGTGGCGTCAATGTCAACATAGTGACGTGTGATTCAACAATCGCGAAAATATTGTCTGGGTATTTCCAGGCATAATAATATGTTACACATTTGATGATGGTCGATTCCTGGATTAAGTGCATCGCCGTATCGCGATATTTCCTTCCGCAAAACTCCGCCTTTCGAATTTGAACTTTTGAATAGGGATCACATATTCGTTTGCTGACTGCGAAATTCAGTTATAGTTGCAACAGTAAAGGTCTCCGACAACATCTGTTAACGATTTTTATTCGGGGTCACTCAGAGTTCGGAGTCATACAATACAAGCTAACAACAACAAATGTCTCAGGAATAAAAGCGATATCTTTGAAATTTACATTGTCTAGTATAACGTTATCGCAAATAATACTTTCAAACACGTCCACTGTTTTACAATTAAGTATAATGAATATTGATGTTAAAAAATATACAATTATTATATATTGTAGTGTAATATGTAAATCGGTAGAAAGTAATTTGGTTTTTGACATTTTATTTAGCTACCCATACAAGCAGTTATCGAAGTGGGTATTTGTACCCATCGTCGTTATGCGCTAACGGAATAATTAAATTACTATCGATATTGACAATGGAACTATTTTGACCTATAATATTACATTTGCTCTCGTGTTGATTTCGCCATATTGGTAAACAAGGTTTAAAATATGTTATCGATAGCTGATGATTTTACGTAAACACACTGAAAACGGTGAAGTAGTTATAATTTACAAAAGAAAATAATTTCATTGTGGAATAACAGTTATTAAATTGATACTCGGTTCATTAAGCTGACCGCCCTTTCGATCGCCAGACGAAGAAATATAACAAAAAACGCACTCGTGGTATTGACAGCTAACGCGTGCTATTTCCACTGTGTTTGTGCCATGGAAAGTAACAAAAAAATAGTTTTTTACTCTGAAAACAACCAGAATCCACAAACAACGCGTACACTGCATGGCAATGGTGGGCGTCTTTGAAAGTACCACTCGAACACAGTCAGC